ATAAATAAAATGAAAAAAAAAAAAAAAAAAAAAAAAAAAAAAAAAAAAAAAAGGAGAGACAATCTGAGAGAAAATTAAAAAAAATTGAAAAAAAAAAAAAAAAAAAACAAGCCTTCCCCTGTACACCCACACCCACCACTACAATTCCAGACGTACGTGGAAGACATCACATTGCTCCCCATAAAGAACATTGACGATGTAGGTAGAGCGTCCTCATTAAAATAAGTCCTAAATAGTGTTGTTATGTCGCACATATGACCACATGCGTGTAAACATTTCCTCCTGAACGCACTTCCTCCCTCAGGTACAGAACATTATAGACCTATGCTTTAAGTACAGGAAAACGCACGCCACCAGAAAAAATTTGGTATCCTCCAGATCTCATTGTCTGCTAACAGTTTACCAGCACCGACTCGCCAAGTAGGACCCCTCCCCCCTGTTAATAGCAACTCCAAGTTACACTCTCCTTTTCACCATTATATAACCAAGCCTGTTCAACTCCGTGTACATTTTCATACCCAAAGGGTAACTCAACTAAGGATGTGCACACTTCCCCCTGCTTCCCCATCCTCCAGAGAAAAGGAACTCATTTCTCAAATAAACTACATCGATTTGGCTGGATCAGAAAAATTTAACGACATAGAGTTAGGCTCACTGAAAAAGGATAACAAGGGGGTGCCCCCGCAAAGAACGTCTCACCACAATATGTAGCAGTCCATGCACTTCTCACACACGATAAATGCACGCCTCTTTTTTTTTCCCCCACCCCAAAGGATGGTCAACAAGAAGGAACTCATAAACATCAACAACACCTTGTCCGTCCTGAACCGAGTGATAATTGCCCTAAGCACACAAAACAAAATCGGGAAAAATCTGGACAAAGCAAAAACAAAGGATGAATTAAAAAGTGAACCCTGCTCTGTTGCCACTGTGCACATTCCGTATAGGGACTCCAAGTTGACGCGGTTACTTAAAGTACTGTCTTCAAAAAAAAAAAAAAAAAGTAAAAAGTATTCATAAAAGAGAGGGGCAGTTTACATTCTTGTCCCGTTAACACGAGCGAATAATTCATATTCGTAGAATCACCTCGGTGTAGTATTACTTCTCCTTTGCGATTTCCTTGCCCCCACAAGTGCACACGCCCTTTTATTCTTGCTCCCCCTCAGAACAGCCTCAACGGGAACTCCTTCACATACATCCTGATATGCCTAAACCTGAACAGCCACAAAATAGAAGAATTTATAAACAGCTTAATATTCGCAAAGAGGTGCAAAATGATTAAACAGAAAATAAAAAAAAATAAAGTAGCCAAATGTTCATCCCGGTCAGACAGCGTCAGAAGTAACTCCTCTTCCGACGAAAACTCCTACGAAAGTTTTGATTCGAATGGTGAAAATTATCACTTCATAGCTCAAGAAAATAAAAACAGGGACCTTTACCATTTGGACACACTTGCATACAACAAAACAAGGAACAAGTACAAAGCACCAAATAACAAAAGTGACGCAATGATAAACAAACTGCTAGTCCTATTCTCTCACATCATTAAAAGAAAATACAATGACTTAGTTAAACAGAAAAATTCTGTAACAAACAATTTAATTAAAATTATAAAATTTGAAGAAAACAACCAGGAAGAGTTGATCAGAAATAAAAATTATTTCAAAAAAATTTTGAAAAAAAAAAAAAAAGAATTACTCATAAACAAGGAATATTTAAATCGTCTTATTCATGAAAAGGGAGTTAAACCGATAAACCTCAGAGAGTATTGTGATGGTGATGTTAGTGTACACAAAGACGTGCTACCTGATATTGCAAATCAGCTCAGTTTAACTCTTCCTGATGGGTTACATTCCATCGATATTCAGGGCGGGCAACAATATACTTCGCCCGTTGTCCAAAAGGAAGAACAAAATGTTGTGAACCAAGGGGGGAGTAGCACCCCCGTCTTGCATAGTGATGTGGGACAAAGGGATCCTAACGAGATTAGTCAAAAGGAAGAAATGTGTACAACGCTCGATAAGGATACGCCCCCCGTGCTCTTTGTCTCCTCCACTGCTTCCCCCACCGATGATGACCCGACCAAAGACACAAAGGACATAAAACGAACCCACGCAGACATCGAGGAGCTATTCCAAATGGAGTTAAATAAACTCAGTGAAAAAATTAAAATGCTAATCAAATTAAATTTTCAAAATATCTCCCTATTTACACACATTGATTCGTTAGCAACTATTCTTCAAAATGTGTACCAAAACAAATACAGCGTCGTGCTGAGGAACGGCAAAAAAACACTCAACATTACCAATTATAATTATTATGAATTTAAAAAATTGTGTGAGTTCTGCCCACCACCACAGTCAGAGTTGGCTGATCACACGGGTGAGGACGACGCGCATTTAGAACGACTCGATCCGGACATAGTTTCACTGTATCGAAGGATAAACGGAAAAAAAGTCACACACGGGGAGGTAGGCAGCTAGCCAAACAAAAAGACACAAAAAAAGAACAGCCATTTTAATTGCATACCATCAATTGCCTTTCCAACGTTATACTTTCTTCACTGCTCGATGAATCCCATTTAACTACCCCTCCTCTCCTGTATCATCCCCAATTAAGCATATGCTCCTTATTAATCTGTAACTACCTCTTTCATTTTTAATCAAAATTACTGCTCCTATTTGAAATATGCACACAACAGTTTGTCTAATTTTTGCCATGCACATGATTGCCAATATGAATTGCACAAGAGGATTTTTTTTTTTTTAGTTTTTTTTTTTTTTTTTTTGCTTCCTTATACCAGTCTCTGCCTTTAACAATCCCCTACTTGGTGCGCATCCACATGTGTATGCGTATGACGCAACCTGCCTACACGAGGTTGAAAAGATGCAGTCAAGTTCAAACGTCGAGGGGGTGATAAAAATTAATAAAAACTGCTTACAAAAAAGTCTATCACGCTGCGTTGTTTTAAAATGAGAGGGAAATAAGGTGCACACAAGGGGGTAAAGGCATATACCCATAAACACATGCAAGCGCAAAAAGCTTCTTTTTCTTCAAAAAGGACGACGCCTGGCCGAAACAAAATAAAACAAAACAAACAGGCATCAAAATGAGAAACTCCAAAGGGGGAAAACAACAAACCGCAAGAGTTACCTCATTCCTGCGAGTCGCCTACCATCCGCAGCATCCCCCCATTGGCGCTTCACTCCACTTTGTCATCTTTTAAATCAATCAATACACACATCAGTAGCATTAACAAACAAAAATTAAAAAAATTAAAAAAAAAAAATATAATAAATATAATAAATAAAATGAAAAAAAAAAAAAAAAAAAAAA